TGTCAAACTTTATTTTGAAAAAATATGAAAATCTTTAAAGTTTGATACTTTTAACAAYGTTATGATTTCAAGAAAGTCTAGCAATTCTTCAATAAATATTATGTTCTTTACAACAATTTTTTAATTATTCABATCGATAATGATAGATGTTTAAGCATTTGACATACGCCAAGACAGAAAAGAATGGAAAGAAGTCGCACATATGCTTTTGTGTTTCAATGGACAATTATAACAGTTAAGAGCTTTTCCATCAGAATTTCCTTTTCTGGATAACTTCCAATTTAAAAAGTGAAAATAGTTGAAGGAATATATGTATATATAATATAATATATACACGCATATCAAATATTTATATAATAACAAAAATAAGTAAATAAGTATTATTGAAAACTAGATTCCCGGACAAGAAAGAAATTTCAACACCGACATTAACATGCTGTGAGTTCTTACCAATGGAATTCTCCGTAAAGTATGCAAATCGGCGTAACAAATATACAAAAACAAAACAATCAGATATTTAAATAAATCACCTAATGTGATACTATGACAAAAAATTATTGACATGACGATTTTTGCAAATTCTCACATTTTTGTATATTACGTAATGACCTCTGTACAACCACTGACGCATATCTGCATATCTTTCATATTTTACGCTCAATTAGCGACGATAATGCCAGGTGAGCGCAGCGTTCGACACGCAGTGCAAAACAACGCAAATTTGTATTTGCACACATACATACAYACATCGCTATACAAATGTATGCAYATTGTTGCGCTTATGTGGCATAAAAAATCAGAGCAATTTTGCAGATTCCTCGTAAAACGAACAACTAGAAATATGAAATAAACAAAACAAACAAATACAAACACATACACACTGAGGCACTGAGGTTCAGGTTGCTGATACACACACATACGCACCCGCACATAGTATACCTAGTAGAGCGAGGCTGATTTTTGTGAGCGCGTCAACAAAAAACTTGCTCTAATTTCATGATTTAGTTCGGTTCCGGCGCGGTGCATAGCGCGACAGGCGMATTTCGCCGAACAGCCATTGACCGAKCGGACACAAAATGCACCGAAACAAGCAAAMAAAAAAATCTGCATGAAAATGGTAACAAATAGAGCGGGCACAAAACAACGAGGCCGCTACACGAACACGCTCGAACAAAAAGTCGAGCAATTTAGCTGACAAAAATGAGAACAAGGACATCGGGCGAAAAAAATTTTGAACGCGCTAACACACAAAAAACTGCTCTACATTCATAACGAACTGGAACGATMCGGCCGGACGGGACAAACAGTTTGTAGAGCAAAAATCGCACTACGAAGATAATGCGAGTACTAAGTTGAATGCACTATTTACATATAAATAGACGCATAGAGACCCATAGAGTGCACCGTTGTGTGCCTTGTTCTTATTATCTTTTACTGTGCACTCAAAAWCATAATTTCCATTTTCTTTTTTATTTATTTATGCATTTCACTTTTAGCATTTAGCTTTCCGCGAAGGTTCATACGGCCGTTCGAGGTTTTTCAACAAAAATGTAAGAGCACGAAAATTGCGCTAATAAAACACAAAAGTAGCACAACAAACGGTATGAGAACAAAAAAATATATATACTGCACACACATATGTACATGCATACACATCCCATACAATATAAGCAAATCAGCATATTTAAGAAAAACTGACATATACCATAAACAGCGCGCAAAAGCACACCTCAACTTGACATTGAGCGCAACACACACAAAACTTCCCTACTACATATACATATACATGCATATGAACATAAGTACCTGGCTTATTGACGGCTGCGCAGCCGCTTCAACGCCACAACAGCATAAACAAAAAACGCACCAATTTTTAGACACAATTTCCAGCGCGTTCGCACCAATAATGAGCCATGGCTTTATTTTTTGTTTTGTTCTCCAGGTTTTTTGTTACGATTTTTTTCTWTACTTGTCTCTATGCCATTGTTGTTCGACGGTCGCGACCATTGCTCGTAAAAAAGATAAACGACATTTWTAAAAATTGGATGAGTTTTTTTGTGTGCTTTTTTGTTCGGCGCACAATAGTGAAATTATGATGTTGCGGGCAAGCAAAAAATGAGAGCATATGCCCAAACGCACAAAGAGAAAAAAATTTGTATGCATGCGTGGAAAAAATGGAAGCRCAATGAAATAATGACCAATGATGAGGCGGTGTGTGTTGCTTGTTGTTTTTTGTGCTCGCGTGAGTGCTTGCGTGCTTCGGTGAACCAATAAAAAACGGCTGCTAATGAGAAATTAGCGTATAATTGGGTAGTGGTSGCAAAATGGCGGGCAGCGAAAACATGCAGGCCCAGGATTAGGGTAAATGCTAATTGGGTTAGGGTTATGAGTAACTGATTTATGTAATATAATAAAAAGTTAGAATTAGTGTATATAWTTTAAGTAGGAGGAAGCATCGAAAGCCGGAATGCGGGTGTTTAATCCGCTAAACCTAACTTACTCCTAACTCACCTCGAATAGCGAAAGATGTCAGTTGCAAACAGACTTAAACAACCTAGTTTCTTGGTGTGTTAGAAA